TGTTTGTTTGTTTGATTCATTTTACGCCTTTTCCCAACATAATTCAGTCATATAGGCGGGTAGTTTCCTAACCATCGTTCCTGGAGAGTTACACCAGTACTAGACTACCGAATCCTCGTGCTAAACTAACAAAGCATCTTCCGGGGATTGTAAGAGTATGAGGGATTTCCAGTTGTGACAATAAATAACCATAGGTCACACAATCATAGCAAACAGACTTTACAAGTCATAAATAGGATGTTGATAATTCAATAGCTGAAAATTTATTTAAAAAATAAAATAAAACAAAGTCAATGCATAATTTATAGTATTGATAAACAGAGACATACATTCATTAATTGCTGAATGTTGTGAACTTAAAGCTTAAGAATTTTAACTAATTAAAGTAAGAGTGATATTACCTCCTGGGAGAATTTATTACAAATATCAATTTATAACATGTTGATGTGAACATTTAAAATAGAAATTTCAAGCTTTTTAAAAGGATAATCTTGCATTATTCAGTAAAAACAGAATATATAAAATAGAGAAATAGAGAGAGGAATAATTTAGTGTACATAAACATTAAAATATTTGCTATATTGTGTATAGGCCCAGTATAATGTAGGAAATTTTCTGCTAGTAAATGGATCAGATTTGACATAATGACATATGGTTATAGGAATTAGCATGCTCTAGTACCATCAAAATTATGATTTGTAAGCAAATGGACGAATGAAGAGACTCGGAAAAGGCTCACGTTCTGGCAGCTTTATGACACAATACAAGACAACTGGCATCATGTAATGTCTAGTAGTGCATAAAATATACATACACAATTACCTCAAAGATAATTCTTGTATCAACCATAAAAATCTCATGATTATCTCAATAGATTATATTATACAAATAAAATAAAAATTAAAGTGCTTTCTTGTATTTGTGGTTTGTTTTTTTTGTTTGTTTTTTTCTAAGATAAAAGCAGCTCAAAATGAGCAATAAATTTCTTTATGACCGCTGAAAATCTGGTTTTATAGGATTTCTGTTTTTCAAGGTTTAACTGTAACCATATTTAATTGTATAACCAATTAGATAGCAGAGGTTTAGACTACATGTGATATCAATTCATTTAATTCATTAGACTTCTTGTTTGAAACTTTGCTAAAAACAACATTTTTCGATAAATCAGAGAAGTTTTTATGAAGTCACATATAAGTCGAGTATGTACACAAATGTATAACAAGACAAAATTTAAGTTTAACAGTAAGATTAGCCGAAGTTAAAAAGTATCAATAAGTCACAATTTCTAAATGTTAGAGGTCCACCTCACTCAGTCGAATCTAAAAAGAAATAAAATACCATAGGTCTTAAAACAATGTTAACTTACAAATTCATTTTTAAGTAAAAACTTGCTTATCTTTATCAATATTATACATTATAAGGAGACAAGTTATATAATGTACAAAAAGACATAACTCACCGGCTTCAGGAACGTTTCATTGTTCAAATCTAAGTAATGTATAGCCTAGAATTTCTGTAAATGATATGTTAACTGCTTTCCCATGTTTTGGCTTTAGATCATACTTTCAATTTGTTGCAAGGATCCGTATCAAACCGTTCCTGATATATTATATCAAATTAAATATAAAACTTTCCAAAACCATGCCTCTGTAAAAAAAAACCAACACACAAACTAAATTTCCACTTCAAAGATCAGCGCGCCAGTCATCGAGTATCATTGAATTAGCGTGTGTGCTTAACTAAGTTGCACATTTCAACACAAACAAATATGCAATTATTCTAATAGAATTTCTGAGTATTTTAACAGACATTCAATATAATGGAAGTGCATCTGGTTAGAAGTTAATGTGAATTTCAGACAATCTGAGGGAAATATAACCCTCTCTATGATACAATACAGGGTAAACAGGCTGGTTCTAATACACAATACCATGCATTTATTTCTCAGTAATTTACTCTCAGCCATGAATTTTTTATATCACTTTATTTTTTATCCTGATATGCATTTTGCCTGCAATAACATTTAATTGCTCACGTTTTTTAAGCTGAATCCTTTTTTTGTTGTTGATTTGTTCCCAAGATTTTTGAAGAAGTTTATATAATAAAATCTTATATATATTAATATTAGAAATAGAAAACAATTTGCTTTTTTTAAATGAAGGCTCTAAATCTAAATTTTCAATTTGTTGCCAGGTAAATCTCCTGAAACAATGATTGCTGGATACACACATACTTTTTGTCATAACTCTTTTTTTTATTGGTCTTTCTGTTAGTTTTAGACCCATGCTGGAAATTTCATCTGGCATGGGGGGTGCCAGATGAGTTGCATGTTATACAATGCCATCATTTTAGCCCATTTTATAAATGAACCGCGTAAAAATGACATCAATTTGGCATATTCAAAATGAAACTGTGTGCCTCGGATGACATCATTTTGCCATTGTAAATTCATACACTGTTGTAATAAAAAATAGCTGCGGATGAAAAAAAAAATTGTTTAACTGATGTAACTAATTTAAAATATGATAGAATATGGTAGAAAATGCAAGAAAAAATATGTGACATATGTTTGCGTTCATATCTTTATATTTGTAACCCTTTAACCTCTAGCTGTTGCCTCATAAATATAAATCTTTTTAACATCATCATCAATGGGGGCTTATTAACATCTTCGCGTCATCTTTCGCACATCCCAATGAATAGATGTGAAAAAATTCAAACAGATGACATTCACACACCTATTAAAAAAACGCATTACATTTTTTCATTTGAAGTCACATATAACTTATACTCCAGTTAATAATTATTTTTGTAACTAGCAACTGCAACTGTTGTTTGAAACATGATATTGAAGCAGCAATTTTTTTTAACCAAGTTCAACAATTCTCATCCCAGATCAATTTAATTAATTTTCTGCTTTACCAGAGCAAGTAACTTTTATTGCCGATTTTGCAAATGTACAGAATACGAAATTCATTAAATGTTCAGAGTAGAACATCAATGCTGTTGTGACAAAACATGTCCTTCGTGATAATGTACAAATTGCCGAGGTGAAGTAGGTCCTGCCATTTCTTTCTGACCCCTTAACAGATATTGAATACCCGAATACCCCTGACTAACCTTGCTTTAACAAACCTAAAAATGGTAGATCAATAATAGTGCCAAAATGTTGGCAAAAATACTTCAGGCTGAAGAATATCTAGGACACAGCTATATTGGAAACAACGAAAAAGAATATCTAGGATAGAATTATAATACAAACAATGAAAAAGAAAAGGAAAACATTAAAAGACATAAATTACAAACATGCACGGTAGAGAGAATTACATAAAAAAGACACAAACATCTGTTTCAACATTATGTAATGTTACCGAGTTGCCAGAGCCATTTCATGACAAATCAAGGGCCATAACTCTTAAGTGCAGTAACAAAAAAAAATCACTTGTAATAATATTTACCTAATGAAATTATTTTGAAAATGCCTTTCAACTTAATGGCAATTAGTGAAATGTTTGTTGAAAAGCATTCAAGTTAGTTTTAAGAGTTGAGAAGAGTTATTTATTGTTCTTTGTTTTTTAAATTTTCCCCCCTTGAAGTCAAACCAAAATTAGTCCAATAACATGATATATTTGCACATTTAAAGTGTAGGAGAACCTTAGGATGTGAGCATGAGCATTATTTTAAAATGAGCAGCAAATGAACCTGCAGAATAGCGTAGAACCACCAGACTTCTGTACGCCAACTTGGAGTAACTTTTACATTCAAAATAAATCAACCTCTCAGACAAGATTCAAAATCCACAGAATGCAAAAGTTAAATGATTTAAACCACTCTGTCATGTATGATAAGTTATATATACATGACTTATGAGAATATGTCCATTTTTATTCTCGTAGCTATTCTGAACACCTAGATGATCAAGACTTTTACCAAATAAGGGACAGGCACTAACTACCATTACCATATACTCTAACGAGACTATTAAAACTGTGATTCTCGACAGATGATGCACAATCAGTAATAAAGCCTACGGAAATATTTCATTAAACAATGACATAAATGGAGAAATATCATTACTGAACGCCTCTATCAAAAATAAATTAATTATTTTATTAAATAATCCAGCAGTATCCATGGAAACATTAAATTTTTAATCAATTTTGAAAGCGAAACTATTTGATATAATAACTTTATACAAAATACGATAAAATGAAATGATAAATATATAATGTTTAACTCCCTATGTGATGATTTGTAAGTTTTCCCACGCGTTTTAAAATTTTATAAAAAAAATGTCTAAAACCCGACTACAGACGATTGTAGCAGATATTAGAATAGAACAGAATTGAACTGGAAGCATAAATTTAATAAACGAGAAATTATCAAAATATTTAAAAACTATTATTAACTTTCATAATTATAAATTTTGTTCGACATCCAACCATAGGATAACTTTTCTTTTTAATTAAATACAACATAGTCTGAAAGACTTGATATTATTAAAGTATTCATGTATAACTATTTTGTCTTACATATTTATAGTGCTCATTTATGGTTAATCAAACAAAACAATTGTGAATTATGACATGAAATTTTTTCAACAGTAGTTACTGTAAAAATTGAACATGTCTATTCATATATGACATAATTGTGACTCCGTTAAAAAAACATAATTCGAAACATACTTTGCATGGCTTGCTTTTAATTAGCTGTCCATTGCTATTTGATAAATTTCAAAATGATAAAATATCGCAACCATCAGGCTCTACAATATAGCCTTAAATCATGCATCATAATTTAACCTAAATTTTTAAAGTGATAGCATACTTATCCAAATTTTGCTCCAAGTCGTGTTTCCTTTCTAGAAAGATCATACAAAAGAAGGTAAAAAAATAACGGTATCTGATGCAGGCGAGATAATTAGATCTCTAATAAATACCACTCTGCTAAATACATGATAATTGAATAGTGAGAAAATGTAATGAAAACAGGTTCCCTACCTTTAACAAACAATTAGTGTAGTAATTAGCATTTATAGTCTCCAATTATTGATAAATCCACAAAGTTTTAATCAAAATCGTGTTTCTCCGCGGGAAGATTCAATGAAAATGAAACTATAAGCACCATAAAAGTAAATGAAACAGACAGAAATAAAACTCCAGCACTGATTATAGCACAGCCTGAAACAGGGGCTTGCATCATTGAGAGCTGTACAAAAGCTGATTTCCAATTTCCGATCACAAAAAACACAGCCAAATTGATCATTAACATCAGCCTAACTTCACAATTATGTATCTCATTTGAGGTTTTCTCTGACAGCAACTCTTCTTTCTCTTCATTAAAGACTATGGTTTATCTTACAACAAGATTTCACTGCAGAATTGAAACCATCATAAACTTTGTAAAGTTACACTAACTATACTAATGAGGGTAAAAACAAGCCTTGTTAACGGCCAAACACATATAATTAGGGACACATAGCGGATAAAAATTCTTTATTTATCCTCTAAGTAACCTAAAGCTGTGCAGGTTTTTTTGTAAGTTTGAAATATTATAACAAGGCTTGCTTGTATATCAATATCATATTAAGATGGATTCATTATATAATAATGAGGAAAAAGGAAATTATCCTACAGGGTGGCGGTGCTTCATTATTTCATATATTCCTATAATAGAACTTCATTATTTTATGTTATATTTTACTTTATATCCCAAATCAGCCATTACTGAATGTGTACGATGATGCATCAAAATTTTCATTAATAAAAATTCTTAAAATTGAAAAAGGATTAAATTTGTTGGTTATGACAAGTTTTTTTTCCAGTATAATTAACTCTATAGGGAATTATACATGTAGAATGAATACATCACAATGTTATTCAAAATGATAATATCATTATATACAATAATTTTTTAAGTTGAAAATTTTCATTAATTATATTACAGTTAATTATCATTTTAAAGTTCTAAAGTCACTTTCAGTATATCTTATATTTTGATTTCTTTCTCTTTTATCGATCTGTTGATTTAAAATCATCCAAAACAACAAACTACATTGGAATTAAACATTTATTTTTATGACTTTCAAATTCTTAATCTGTTCCATCAAGTCAATTAGTCAATTTTAAAGCAATTAGTTGTGCCCAAAATAAGCTATAAATATATATAATTGATATGTACTTGTTAATGTCTGTGAACATTTGTTAAGACAATAGGACATTGTAGTGCTTTCTACATAAATAATCCATTCACTGCACTTATTTTAAAACGATTATCATTGCCTGTAAACGACCATTACTGGACCGACTTGAGAGAAATTATGGAAATTTTTATACAAACTACAAAATATGAGCGGTAAACATTTACACAATAATGTTACTGAGTTTGAAACATGATTAATCCATTTGTATGTCTGTTTGATCTACAAGTTGAAGGTCTACTTTAAGGTTTAGTCGAGTAATTAAATGGAACTCTATAACATTGTAAAATCACTCTCTCCTTGAAAGGGTACGTAACTAAATATTTCAAAATAAAACAGTCCAAATGAAAATCTTTACCCTAAAATTGCAACAAATGAAAGTCTTTCCCTTAACAACACTAATTATATGTAATGGACTTACCCCTCTTTCAATATTTCAATCTGGACAGAACCATTTATGATTTTAAGGGAAAATTTCAAAATACATACTGTCTGAAAAGAAAACCATGCATGTTCAGATGGCATCGATGTGCAAACAGATTTTGGTCTGCAGTACAAACAAGCGGTACTTTTGTGACTAAAATAACAATAGATAACAGTACATTTTCTTTGATCCTTTTCATTATGTTTTTACTTGTGTCTTTTTTTATACCTTGTGTGACTAAAAAGAACAAAAGGCAAGTCACATAAGTAATGTATCCTAAGTTTGTTCATGGCTGCATAGGTGTGTTAAAGGCTGCCCAACACAACATCATTGAAAATGTTGCAGGCTCTGATTGAGCCAGAGGTAAATACAAGTAACCGTCCATGCCTTCACTGTAAGGTGAATTAACTGGCAGAGTCAAATGATAGAAAGAACAAATTATGTCATGGACAGGAAAATATAAACCAGGAAACAGTCTAATTTTATAAACAACACCATTATCAAGAAATGTCCCTCAGTTTCAATTCCTGCCCATCCCAATCTTCACAACTGGTTTATAGAATTTATTTCTGAATTACTGGAAAAGTACTTTCTTTTTGGTTTAGAGGATCACTGAATGGTGTTTCGTTTAGATACAAAAAGTTTTTACTAATGTCAGCATAGAATTACCATCTATACCGAGCTATATATCTTGTCAAAAGTAAAAATATAATTATTGTACAAGAACACCTAACACAGCTCAAAATTGAAAATGTTGCAGGCTTGGTTTGATTGACCCTGTTCATATATTTCAAGGCTATAAAAACATACCTTCAAAAGATATATCCAACAGAATCCTCACTTTTATTATTAAGTACTAGCACGCTAAAAATATAAATTCCTTATAGGACTGTATCACAAAATAAATCACTGTCTATCATCTCCTTTACATTCCCCATTTACTTTCCATATATGCAGACAACAGAAATACTTCACACAAACTTAAATCATGTTTATTTGACCACCTTCCTCACGTTAAAAAGAAATTTCCTTGTTAATTAGTAATTTATAAATAAAACATTGTAAACTGCACAAATTTTGCAAGGTCTTAAAATTGACTTTCTCTGAATAAATATGTTAATTAGCATAGATATAAAATGTCCAAATTGCCTCAATTTACCATACTAACACTAGAAAGGTACATATTTGATTTAGTAATTGGTATAACTAATTTACTTATTTCATCATTTTAAAATCAATTAAATGTGTCTATGCATTGATGTTGGAATAAATCTAATGACACTGTTGACACATTATTAGTACTAAGGACATCATTTTACCTTTATTGTACGTAACTTCCACGAAACGAAACAAAGATCTACTCATTCTGTATAATTATTCAAGAACAGTTAGTTGTTTCAGTAAAGTGCGCATCAGGTGTAATTATATACATTCATAACACACTCCCCAACAAAATCACATGCAAAATATTTGCATGTACATTCCTAGCTCTCCAATTACTCCATATCCGAACTTTACATCAGAAAATAACAACTCACAAACTTACTTCTTTTACAGTAATTACGGCACATAATTATGGAGCTATCCATAATGGTAAATGTTTGATGATGACGGTGTCCATATAACTGATGCTAAGTAATTGTTTATACAAATTCAAATGGTGACAAATCTCTGTGTTTGTATCTATAGAAGAGTGGTTCATTAGAAACCACTTTAAACCTGCATTAAAGCCAGTGATTGCACTTGATAGAGTTATAAGAGATTTCACTGAAAACAAGATTAATTATTAATCCTCCAGGATAAAATGTTCATTTTCACGAAGCCATATACAGGTGATAAAAATAGATAGTTTGGAGACTTCAGCTTAAAATAACTAAGTCTTCGTGTCTTGTTTGATTTCATTGATAAATCAAGTTTTTCAACGTACGGATCATCACTTGAATCTTGTTTAACCAAAAAAAGAAGAAAAAAATGGCAGCAAAAGAAGGTAAAGGTAATGAAACTATACAGTAGATAGAAAGATTAAAAACAATTATAAATAAATAAAAAATTTAAGTGGCTTTTATAAGACTAAGGAAGGAAATAAATCTGAATAATAGATAATGTATATTGAAGGAAAAAGGTCCTTTAAAGCTCTAAGTGCTTTAAGTAAGCAAGTAACTGTTGCTATCATAAATCAAGCACCTTTGAAGTATTAAATGTATCAATTAATAATGAGAGGGCATTCACAATATTTCTATGACAGTTTTAATTGGTTGAAAATTTTGAACTAGTCCTTTTTATACATCAATTTGTTCAATTTTGAACCTTTTCAATCCTGTTTTATATAATGTTCGTATCATTATTGTATACCTTATGTTTGTATTATATGAAGTAAATACTGTTTAAACCAATTTTGAATCTGCTTCTATATTTAAATACTGGCAGTATTACCATGGTTACATTCAAGGAAATAAAGGGTTTTGACACAAGTAATGTTTAACATCCCTGGTTTAAGTCTGAAGCAGCTTAACTATAGCACCCCCAATTTTTGTTAACTTATTTGTGCATGGAAATAGTTCGATCTATTTTGAAAGAAAATGCTTTTGCCAATTAAAATATGTCTTTTGTTAACAACACTTCTGACCTGTTACTCTCCAAATGAAAGTTTAAATTTTATAAGCAATTCACTCAGCTATCCATCCATTGGATGATTTTACTGTTTAGTAGGGGCTGCAACTATTGGAATAATATTAGGGGCTGCAACTATTGGAATATTATATCACTTTAAAAAAAAAATGCTGTTTTTACATATTTTGAATTTGCCCTAGAAAAAGATAATTGGGTTTGTCCAGATTGAAAGATGGACATGTCCATTAAAAAAATATAACTTGGTATTAGGGTTACCTACATCTAAGCTAACCTTAATGAATAATGAATAATGTCTTGTCAAAGAATTAAAAGTATTTAGTAATATATATGCGTATACAGTAATTTTTAATCTAAGTGGTTTTTGTTCCACTAACGAAACATTAAATATTTATTGCTCCAGTTTTTTTAAAAAATATATCAGGTTGAAAGATAAAGCTTAAGCTGTATAGAGTTGTGAATTGTTGAAATGTTGATGTAAGGTTGGCAATGGTACCTGACAGGACAATATTAATATGAAAACTTGGCATTATTGTCAGACAAGTTTGTGTGAAATGGACTTTAAGGTCAGACTGGTTCAGAGTTCTAGGTTCACAGACTGGGTGCCCTGATGCTTTATCCTCAATAACTCTTGTCAACACAGCGGTATATTAATATAACAACATACAGAATTAAATATAACAAAAACTATTATAAATTTAACAACATTTCTTACCTCTCTTATAATAAACAACTATACTTTATTTAAACAAAAATAATTATCACCTTACTTGAGTATGTAGTCACCATAAAAATATACCATATTCTATAGAAGGAAACTACAAGCATAAACTAAAATCCATTGCAATAATGTAATTAAATATACAAATAATATTCATATATTTTATAGCTATGTAAGTAAAGACACTGTGATTCCATATAATAATCAATTAAATACCATCCCATTGTTGTAAACACATTTTTAACTACAAGGAAAATATATGTCCTATTAAAGTAAACATGTAAATTGCTCAAATAAACTATGGAGTATTTAATTGCCTTTTGTTTTCAGTCAAACA